AGCACAGGCTCCGGACACGCAGGCTCAGCGGCCATGGCTCACGGGCCCAGCCGCTCCGCAGCATGTGGGATCTTCCCGGACAGGGGCACGAACCCGCATCCCCTGCATCAGCAGACGGACTCCCAACCACTGCGCCACCAGGGAAACCCCCTCGGGCATCTTTGATGCCCGGGAAGGATCCTCTAGGTGAGAGGACCAGTGGTGACCTGGAGGTGGTTGGTCATGTGGTCACTTGGTGTTTACTGGGGGCCGCCCATATGCTGGGGGCCCAGCGGATGAAGCCCCCTCAGAGAGCTCTCAGGACGCCCGCCCAGGATGCAAATGGGACGTCACCTTGTTAATCTTGAGTCACGGAAACCTGCCCGCATCCAGTGTGGCTTGCCCACCAAACCCCAGACTTTGGTGTTTCTGGAGTTGGTCAGGAGAGAAGGGTCCAGAAAATATGGTTGGGGTTAAAGGGCAGCCAGGTGTCTTCAGAAAACGAATCTAGGGGAGTGTGTTACCCTCCTGTCAGCTCCGTGTGGTTGAGAGCCAGGGTGAAGGAGTGTCTTGCCATCTTACGGATGTGGGAGCTGAGGTGCAGTGATGTCCAGTGGTCCTTCTGTGTGTCCACCCTCCTGGCCCCTCAAGAGAAAAGGAGGCCTGGGACTGGGGGAGCAGGGGCGGGGGTGTTTGGCCCATTGAGGTGGGTTCACAGGGAGGCAAGGCTGGGGTGACACCAGGAGAGGGGGTGACCTCCCCATCCCTGCAGGTATGTAAGCCAGCAGCAGGTAAGGATTGGCTTCAGCTGTCTCCACCTCTGCCCGGTTCTTTACAATTTAGGAAGCAAACTTGTGGCCAGCCTTGCTACACGTGTAGTAGGAGAACAGGCCCAGGGAGCAGAAGCCCAGGCTCACTCCCCCAGGCCTCTGGCCCAGCGCTCCTGGCAAACGCTGTGCTCTCTAATTGACACCACGTGGGTGGCAGGAAGGGGCGATGACCAGAGTGATGCGCCACCCCCTTGAGCCCTGGGCCCCCCACTTCAGTGCCCCTCACTCCTCTCTCCCTCTCTGGTTCCCCAACCAGGGAGCCCTGCCTGGAAGGAGTTAAGGAAGTAAAGGGCTGGGATGTGAATTTCCCGGCAGCCTCGGGCGCCCAGGGGCGCGGAGATAAAAGCCGCTAACGGGCGCCCCTCTCAGCGGCTGGCAGCTCTAGGGCTGCAAACTGCTCCTCTGGCGGCGGTGGGCGCGTTTTCCTCTCCCTCCGCCTCCGCCTGGCCCGGCTGCCCTCCCGCCCCCCAGGTCCTGGGAAGCGGAGGTGGTACCGTGGGGCTTAGGCACTTGCCTGTCTCTGCTGCCAAGTGGTGGAGACAGTCTTGGGGACAGGGTGTCAGCTGCATCTTCTGTGCCAACCTCGGTACCCGGCTGAGGGCCCTGGGGGATGGTCAGGGGCCCTGGAAGGGCAGACGGAGAGGCTGGCAGTCGAGGTGTTGTGAGCAGAGCCCTGGGTGGCATCTCAGCTCCGGCCTCCAGATCAGTTCTTGAGCCCCTACAGGCCTTAAGTTTGTCATCTGCAGAATGGGTATAAATCAAGGCTTTCAATTTCTCACGTGCTTCCTGGGAACAGAGAGGGCCGCAGGCCGGATGGAAGGCAGTAGGGGCCGGGGAGGACCTGGAGAGTGATGGCTGTGTCTACAGGGGCCCTGCCTCTGTTCTCCGATAGCTGACTGTCGCCCTGTAACGAGTGTGAGCTCGCTGGCCAGACTTCTAATCTCTCTGTTTTCATCTGAAATCTCTCAGTGCTTAAACATCAGCAATTAATTTTGAGCAAAGTTTGGAGCAGCAGCAGCGCGGCCTATCCGCTGGCCGCCAGTTTGCAGCCCCTGGAGTAGCTCATGCCCTGAGGATCCCGTGGGGTCACGATCGGAAATCCTGGGAGAGCGAGCGCACCCTTTATCCCAAGGGGCAGGCACGGGGCTCTCGGGAACTTGCTTCTGATACCCCCAGACTCAGCCACCCTTGGAAGGAGAGGCCCACTCGAGGAGCCCCCAGCCTGATGGGCGAGACCGAGGCTTGGCCTCCTCCAGGCTCGCCTCCTGGCTGCTCAGACCCTCGGCCTGTCGGGGGCCCGCGTGCCAGCCTGAGGAGCTCACCCTTTGGGCTCAGCCTGGCTTGGCAAGGCCGCCTCTGCTGTGGACACTCCTCGTCCCCTCCCTCCCCCGCCGCAGACACACACTCTCCCCACGTGGACACCAATGCACATAGTTTATTCCATGTGGCCTCACTTTGTCCTCAGTGGCCAGGTGTGCACGCACACACACTCTCACACATGTGCACACACACAGAGACCCACAGTGACACACACAAATGGTTGTGGTAACCCTGCACGTTCACACTCGGCTGGTGCATCTTTGCTCACGTGCACGTGGTTACACATGTTCACGTCACATGTCGGCTCCCACGAGTGGACGTGTTTGTGCAGAGTCACATACCCGCACGTGGTCAAAGGCACACACCTACCTGCCAGCAGAACAGGCCCTGGGCTGGACCGCAGGCTGTTGACTCCTGCCCACTGGGCCCGGCCGGTTTGCTGATACTGGGCCCAGTGCACACAGTTGCCCTGGGGCTGCCCCTCATTGTGAGATCGGTCTGGTTTCCAGGTGGCATGTCCGTGTCCCAGTGCTCCAAGGAGGATGGCAGGAGCAACTCAGGACCTCCCCACGAGACGGCCGCCCCCAAGCGCACCTATGACATGATGGAGGGCCGTGTCAGCAGGGCCATCTCCTCAGCCAGCATCGAAGGTGTGTGCCTTGCCCTGCTCCCTACTCCAGGGGGCACAGAAGGGCCAGGGGAGGGCCTAGGACCTGCCCCGGGGGCTTCCCTACTTGCTGGGTGATGGCAGGAAAGGGAGAGAATTTCTCTCTCTCAGCTCCCCTTGGAGGGAGGAGATGGGATGGTTGGCCCTACTTTACAGATAGGAAAACTGAGGCAGGGTTTTTCTGAAGCTCCATCTGGAGGTAGCACAGGGCCCGAGAAGTGGTCCTGTGCCGCCACCACTATCATCGTGGGGACTGACACCAAGTGGCTGGAGGGGCCCGCTGCTGGGAGGGGGCGCTGGAGACCCTGGCTCGTCACTGCCAAGGCCGGCTCGGGGAGCCACGAGATGATGCTCTTGTCCTCCCCCTCCCAGGTCTCATGGGCCGCGCCATCCCGCCTGAGCGACACAGCCCCCACCATCTCAAAGAACAGCACCACGTCCGAGGCTCCATCACGCAAGGTACCCTGCCCTCTGCTCCCCAAGTGCCCCCGCATGCCTGGCCACCACGCCCTCGTGGCAGCTACAACAAGCCCTTGGGTTTACAGTCAGGGTGGGCGGGGGAGGGAAGGCATACCAGAGTGCCATGGGTGCCCAGGTATGTGGAAAGGCATGTAACACACGTGGACGTGACAGGTATGTGTGCAGGTTGAAAGGCAGAGCAAGGCATTCCTTATGTATTTGAAAACAAAAAGAGAAAGCAAAATATTACCCATCACCCTCAACTTTGTAGACGTCATTTATTGAGCATCTACTGTACTCTGCGCTTGGTGCTACCCCAAGTGCTCTCTAGATATTATCTTATGGAACAGACTCCAAGAGGAAGATACAATTGGTGGGAGGATCAAAGAGGTCAGATACCCTGCCCAGGTTCTCCTGGCTGGTCAGTGGCAAGCCAGCTACCGTGAGCCCCATTCTATGCATCTTATCTATGTTATCTCACTGAATGTTCATGACTTGGTGAGGGGTTTCAGTTACTACTCCCATTCTATATGTGAGGAAATTGAGGCTCAGAGAGGGCAAGTCATGTGCTCAAGGTCACACAGCAAGCGAGGGCTTGAACCCAGGTAGTCTGGCTCCAGAAACTGCCAGCATGGAGGCCCCAGGTTAGGATGGGCGAGGTGGGGCGCAGGTGCAAGGGTCAGCGCCCCGTCCTCCCTGGCAGGGATCCCACGATCCTACGTGGAGGCCCAGGAAGACTACCAGCGTCGGGAGGCCAAGCTCCTGAAGCGTGAGGGCACGCCGCCCCCGCCACCCCCGCCCCCACGGGACCTGGCCGAGGCCTACAAGGCCCGGCCCTTGGAGGCCCTGGGCCCCCTGAAGCTGAAGCCTGCCCACGAGGGCCTGGTGGCGACAGTGAAGGAGGCCGGCCGCTCCATCCATGAGATTCCACGGGAGGAGCTGCGGCGCACGCCTGACCTGCCCCTGGCCCCGCGGCCGCTCAAGGAGGGCTCCATCACGCAGGTACGGGCGCAGGGCTGGGCGGCTGGGCCAAGATGGGGGCGGCGGGTGCTGATGGGCACCGCTCTGGCCCCTACAGATGGGGAAACTGAGGCCCAGACTTGTTGAGTGCCACGCCCAAGATCACACAGCTGCTCATCACTGAGCCGTCATCACGTACATTCCAGATTCCATACCAAGGCCTTTATACTATATCCGTGACCTCGTTCAATTGTATTTACAGCCCAGGAGAGTCATACCTATCATCCCCATTCTCCAGGTGGGGAAACTGAGGCCCAGAGAGATCAAGAAGCTTGCCAAACCCCAGAGCTAGATGTAATAATGAACGCCGGTCATGGATCGAACCCCCGATCTAGGACCATAAGACATCATGACTTATCTAACCCTCACAGCAGCACTCTGAGGTAGTTCTCTTACTGTCTGCATTTTAGTGGTGAGCAAACAGGTTCAGAGAGGTTAAACAGCTTGTCCAGGGTCACACAGCAGGTAAATGGCAGTTGTGCATCTCAAATCCACATGTCCCGAAATCTGCAATGTCTTTGCTTCTTGGCATCCACTCCTACCACCAGCATGTTGCACCTCACCCTACCCGCACCCCCGTGGCTCTGGCCCCCCAGAGGCCTCAGCCTGGTAGGGGAAGATGAGCTCTGATTGTGTGAGGAGCTGGTCGGTGGAAACCAACTAAGAACCAGTGTCTCTTCCCTTGGTCAGAGGTGGCTGATGTGAATGAGGAAGGAGCGTGGGATCCATCGGGGGCTGCGTGGCTGTGAGGTGGCAGGGACTGGGGAGGGTGTCCAGGAGGCCTACAGTTGGCTAACGGCACAGAGGTGCCCCGGGAGAAGGCGGGAGCGGTGGGAAGATTGTCGAAGGCCAGGGGACGGGTTTGACTCTCAGCCTCTGGGCAGTTGTGAAGCCATTGGCAAGAGTCCACCATGGATCCAAAAGGGAGGCCAGTCTGATTCTGGAATATTCTTTTTAAAATAAGGGCACTTCCCCTTCTTAAGAAAGTAATTAAAACACTCCTGAAGGGCTTCCCTGGTGGCGCAGTGGTTGGGAGTCCACCTGCCGATGCCGGGGACACGGGTTCGTGCCCCGGTCCGGGAAGATCCCATATGCCGCGGAGCGCCTGGGCCCGTGAGCCATGGCCGCTGAGCCTGCGCGTCCGGAGCCTGTGCTCCGCAACGGGAGAGGCCGCAACAGTGAGAAGCCCGTGTATGGCAAAAACAACAACAACAAACACTCCTGAATAAAAGCAGAGTTCTCTTACTTGGCAGAGACACAGAGCCCAATGTATCCTGGGTTTCCCCGGCCTGCGCAGACAGGGTGGGGTCTTCTCCCAGGCGGCCGGGCTGCAGCTCGTCCATGACCCCTGTTTCTTCAGCTGCCCTTTCTGGCCATAGAGCAAACATAAACCTCTGCCCTGACCTCTGAGACTTGAGCCTCAGGGCGGTGGAACTGGATTTTGCGGCTGGCTTTTCTGGCTTGGCGTTGGGTGGGCCGCAGAGGGTCCCAGACTGACAGGAAGAAGGTATTTGCCCTCATGGGGGTGGTAAGTCTCTTTCCAGCAAACCCCAAGGGCCAACAGAGGTTCCCCCACTTGCTCCAGGAAGGGCTAACCTCTGAACTTTGTGCCCCCTCCTGCAGCCCCCCAGGTGGCTCCGGTGGCCAGGGTCCAGGACAGGGGTGGGCAGGGCAGGGACAGGTGTGCGCTCATCTTAGGCTTAGCAAAGCCCTTCCTCCCCCGCCCCTGGAGGCATGAGATGTCGCTCCCATTTCATAGCTGAGAAACTGAGGCTCAGAGCGGTTGTGTAGCTGATGCTCATCCCCCCCTTGCCCCTCAGGGCACCCCGCTCAAGTATGACACCAGCACGTCCTCCACCGGCTCCAAAAAGCACGACGTGCGCTCCATCATCGGCAGCCCCGGCCGGACGTTCCCGGCGGTGCACCCGTTGGACGTGATGGCCGACACCCGGGCGCTGGAGCGCGCCTGCTACGAGGAGAGTCTGAAGAGCCGGCCGGGCGCTGTCAGCAGCTCGGGGGGCTCCATCACCCGGGGGGCCCCGGTCATCGTGCCTGAGCTGGGCAAGCCACGGCAGAGCCCCCTGACCTACGAGGACCACGCGGCGCCCTTCACCAGCCACCTACCCCGCGGATCACCGGTGACCACACGGGAGCCAACCCCGCGCCTGCAGGAGGGTGCGTGGGGCGCTGCGCGAGGTGGGGCGGGGCCATGGGGTGGGGCGGGGCCTCGGTGGGCTCCGGTCTCTGAAACTGCCTTACCATCCACTCCTTAGCTCAGGAGCATCCTCGGGGCCACCACATCCATTCCATCTGCCAGACCAGTGGGTTCTACCTCCAAACCATTCTCAGGATTCTCTCCACCCCTCGGCCACCTCCAGATCACCTGGCTTCCCTGACTTCTCTCTTGTCCTGCTAATAATCTGCTCCCCAAACGGCAGCCTGAATACTTTTTTTGAAATATTTACATCAGATTACGCCACTGTTCTGCTTAAATCTTTCTAGTGACTTCTCACTGCACTTAGGAAAAAATCACCCTTTTCCGCCATGGCCTTGGGAGCCTGCAGGATCCCGCCCCACCCACCTTTCCATCTTACTGCCAGATTCCTTTATCTGCTGCTTTATGTCTCTTCCTTGACCACACTCAGCTCATTCTTTGCTCAAGACCTTTGCACGTGCTGTCCCCTGTGCCTGAAATCCGCCCCCGCCCCCGCCCCCAGCCCACCACCCGCCTTTCAGATCTTTACCTAACTGGTTTCTTTTGCGCCCTTCAGGACTCTGTTCAAATGTCACATCCTCAGGGAGGCCTCTTATGACCACCCTCCCCCGCTTCAGTATTCTGGTCACGTTCTGTCACATTTTAAAAAAATTTTCAGAGCATTTATTACTCTGAGATTCTTTTTCGATGACTAGTTGATCATCTGTCTCCTGCATTGAATGTCAGCCCCACGGGGGCCAGGATTTTTCTGTTTTGTTCAGCGGGGGAGCCCTAGCTCTTAGAAAGTGCTCGGCATGTCGTAGACACTTAATAAATATTTTTGGTTGATTGAAGGAATGCACAAGAAAGGGAATGAAGGAAAGAAAGAATGAACTTTTTAAAAGAGCTAAAATACAGAAGCAAATGAGTGAATGAATAAATAAAAGGAAAAATGAACTAGATGCAAATGGATGGATGACGAGGCCTGGTCCCTGGGGATCCCAGAGACCCTACCCTCAAATGACTTCCCCTAAGCACTAGCCTTGGCAGCCCCCAGTGTTGGAGGCTGGGACACCTATGGCACAGAGGTCTGATGCCATCCCCACTTGGCCCGTCCCCACAGGCAGCCTCTCGTCCAGCAAGGCGTCCCAGGATCGGAAGCTGACGTCCACGCCCCGTGAGATTGCCAAGTCCCCGCACGGCACCGTGCCTGAGCATCACCCCCACCCCATGTCGCCCTACGAGCACCTGCTCCGGGGCGTGAGTGGCGTGGACCTGTACCGCGGCCACATCCCGCTGGCCTTTGACCCCACCTCCATACCCCGTGGGATCCCTCTGGATGCAGGTGATTGTCCCGGACCCATAGAACCCTGAGGCATCAGTGTCAGCCCGAGGGCTCCTCGGGCATCAACTAGCTGCCACTAGGTGGGGAAACTGAGGCATGGTGGGGGGGAGACCCAACAGTGTAATCATGTCAACAGTTTAGGTGAGAAACAGAATTTCTCTTAGGGGTCTGAGGGACATGCCGGGTTAAACGTTTTTCAGTGGTTTTCTTTTCCTGCGGAACTTATCAGTGCCTTTAAAATTGCAAATGTATCAAAAGAGGGCTCAAGGGTGAGCGTTCCCCAGACGGACGGGATCTGACAATCCGTTTAGAAGGATGCAGCCCTTAGGTATTTTAGTGATCCCCATTTTGGATGCCCTGTGTTTAGGGGAATTTCCATCCAAAGAACGTTATCAATCAGAGACACCCACGTGTGTGTCGGGGCAGCGAGGGTTTTTCTCCTTCTAGGCTCTCAGTTCTGTTTTCTGGGGGGTGTTTGGGAGAAACTGTGAGGGCACTGAGACTGGCGGGGTGGGGTGGCATTCCCAGCCGAGGTGTGGGCCGGTCTGACCTTGCTCCCCTTCTCCCGGCAGCCGCTGCCTATTACCTGCCCCGGCACCTGGCCCCCAACCCCACCTACCCACACCTGTACCCGCCTTACCTCATCCGCGGCTACCCCGACACGGCGGCACTGGAGAACCGCCAGACAATCATCAACGACTACATCACCTCGCAGCAGATGCACCACAACGCGGCCACCGCCATGGCCCAGCGAGCTGACATGCTGAGGGGCCTGTCGCCCCGCGAGTCCTCGTTGGCGCTCAACTACGCCGCCGGCCCGCGAGGTGGGTGGGGCAGAGCACTGCCAGTCACGCGGGTGGGCAGAACCCGCCACCCAGAATTGGCCTTATTCCTGGTCTGCCCAGGGTCCTGAGAGCACAGGACACGTGCGTGCCCACGCGTGCACGTCTGTCCTTGCCGAGGCGGCTAGAGCAGTTGCCTTAGAGGCTCGGGTTGTATCACTGCGCGGAGAGCACACACAGACCTGGCAGATGGTGCAAGGTTGTGTGTGGTGTGTGTCCTGGATGCATACACACGGGCTCTGCATGTGCTTGTGTCCTCTTGGTATGTGCGGTCCCTGGTGTTTAAAAAAAAAAAAAAAAGATGGAAACGTGAGGCCGTTTGAACTTCGGGTTCCCTTGAGTCGAAACCAGCCCGTGGCTGCTTTGCACGTGCATATTACAGTCACCTTGTGGAAACACTGCTGGGATGTGCTTCCGGAACAACCAAGTATAGTTATGGTCCAGTTAGTAAAATCAGTCACACTAGGTATTTCATACAGTGGGGATTGAGTACCAGCAAAGGACTGCAGAGGGTCAAAGGCAAGAAGGGCACACCAAGAGCACACCAAAAGAGCAAAATAGGCATAGCAAGGTATGCAGGGCTGCCAACTGCAAGCCACGTCCACTTCAGGGTTTGGGAGCGAAGGGATGGGGTGCTATGAGCACCCAGCATTCAGAGAAGGGTCCTGCGGGCCCGGTGCGGGGACCAAGGAGGGAGCATCCGGCCGTGCTGCTCCTCAGAGGACGCGCGGCGCTGCACCAGCTGGGGTGGTCCGGCCAGGAGGCAGCCTGGCCCCTCTCCCCCGACCGCTGCAGCCCGGCCCCACCTCCTCTGTCACAGGCATCATCGACCTGTCCCAAGTGCCACACCTGCCTGTGCTGGTGCCCCCGACACCAGGCACTCCAGCCACCGCCATGGACCGCCTAGCCTACCTCCCCACGGCACCGCAGCACTTCAGCAGCCGGCTCAGCAGCTCCCCGCTCTCCCCAGGTGATGCCCCCACCCCCGTTCTGGGCGTCCTCGGGCAGATGCCTTGCCCTCTCTGTTCCACCCCGGAAGACAAGTCCAGGGCCCCTCCTGTGTCCGGGGCTGAGCCGCAGGCCTTTGGGTTTCCAGGAGGCCCCACCCACCTGACAAAACCCACGGCCACGTCCTCGTCCGAGAGGGAGCGGGAACGGGAGAAGTCCATCCTCGCGTCCACCACCACGGTGGAGCATGCGCCCATCTGGAGGCCTGGTAGGATGACGGAGCCGCCAGCACGCGCCCCACGCCCCAGCGGTCCCTGTGGCTGCGCGTGGCCTGCCCCTCTGATCCCACGGCTTGTTTCCACCAGGTACGGAGCAGAGTGGCGGTGGCGGCGGCGGCGGCGGCGGCGGCGGCAGCGAGGGATGCGGGAATCGCGGAGCCCCGGCCCGGGCGCCCGGCCGAGGCCCAGCGTGCTGCACAACACGGGCATGAAGAGCATTATCACCTCCGTGGAGCCCAGCACGCCCACGGTCCTGAGGTGGGCCAGGTTGGCACAGGGGAGGGGACAGGCGGTGGGGGGGGCGGTCACTGGATACAGGTTGGGGGGGGATGCACAAGTGTACCGATGGGTTGGGAGGTATACGGGAGAGTGAGCAATGGCTGGGCAGGTAGGTGGGTGGGTGGCTAGGTGGGTGAGAAGGTAAAGAGATGGGTGATTGGGTTAGTTGGATGGGTGGGTGGATAGGTGAATGGATGGATGGGTGGATAATAGACTTTGGGTGGGTAAGTGGATGGATGACAGGTGAGTAGGTAGATGGATGGGTGGATAATAGACTTTGGGTGGGTAAGTGGATGGATGACAGGTGAGTAGGTAGATGGATGGGTGGATAATAGACTTTGGGTGGGTAAGTGGATGGATGACAGGTGAGTAGGTAGATGCATAGGTGGGTCAGTGGTGGGTAGATGGGTGGCGGAGCTAGATGAATGGGCAGGTGGGGGGGTAGACGGATAGATAACAGCGGGTGGGTGGGTGGATGGATGGATGGTTGTGTTGGAGAGCTAGGTGAAAGGTGGATGGATGGAGGTGGATGAACAGATGGTGGGTAATTGGATGGAGGTTGGGTTAGATGGGTGAGCAGGTAGGTGGATGGATGGGTAGATGGGTGAGTAGATAGGTGATGGGTTGAGTAGGTGGGTGGATGGGTGGTTGGGTTGGGTTAGGTAGGTAGGTGGGGAGGTGGGTGGATAGATGGGTAGGTGGACAGGTGATGAGTTGGGTAGATGGCTGGGGGGGTTGGCTGGGTAGATGGATGAGTAGGTGGTTCATTGGGTAGATGGATGGCGAGTTGGGTGGGCGGGTAGGGGAGTAGTTGGGTAGGTTGTCGAGTTCAGGAATGGAGTCTGTGGAGCAGAGAGGGCGAGACAGTGAGGCCTGTGAGGAGAGCCTTGCCTTTCCCTCCCAGCATTCAGCGGGGCCCTACAGGGAGCAGAGCGCCTGTCTTGCGCAGACAAGGCCCAGAGGCTCCGTGAAGACGGGAGAAGGCGCAGAGGTCCCATGTGCCCCCCCGCCAGCCCCGGAGTCCACTTCCTGTCACGACAGGCCCAAGACCCACCTCCCACCCCCTGCCCGAGGTCTGTGGGCAGAGCTGCCCGACGGGGGAGGGAGCTTCCCCAGTGCCCCTGCCCGCCCAGGGGCAGTTTGGAGGCGGCTGCTTCTTCCAGAATGAAGTAACCATTCATGCAAGTACCCTTCCATTTGGCTGGTCTAAGTCATACCTCCCCCACCACCATTCCAACTGTGAAAAATGACATCATTTCCTAAGCGCACAGCCTTGTCCCCTCTGAGTCAGGTCCCCAGCGGGCACGCATGGCAGGAGCGCCTGAGTCTCACAGTGGGGCACCCAGGCGTGAGCTCCCACCGGCAAGCACCGGTGAGAGGCTGTAGCAGGGACATCAAGCCCTTTCCCAGTGGCAGCTGAGTAAGACCCCTGGGAGAGAGGGTTAGCACAAGGCTTCCTCATGGAAAACGCTAGGCTTGACAGGCCACAAGAGATGGTGTCGGGCCAGCTCACGTCCAAGCCTGTTTCCTCATCTGCAGAGCAGGGATAGTTACATTGACCCTGTGAAGGTCAGAGAGAGTGCGTCTGTGCATTCCTTCTTCCTGGTGGGCCTGCGGTGGGTCTCCTGCCCTGTGCTGGGTACGGGGGACACGGTAATGGTTGACGCAGTGCCCTCTTAGGGCTTGTGGGCTAGACCCATAAGCCTCTGGGGTAAGGAAGAGCGCTCCGGGCAGAGGGGACGACAGGGAGCCCTGTGTGGCCCCTGATGGCGGAGGTGGGAGAGCTGGACCCCACTGCCCTGTCCTTTAACCACCCGCCCTAGGCCGCCCTCTGGGCCTTTGCCCTGTGGCTCACTCATTTCCTCCCCAGCGCATGTCCCAGCCCCTCAGAGAGTCCCCCGTGAGCCCTGCCTAAGAGCTCCCTTGCCATTCTGTTAGCAGAACGTAACCCAGACCCGTTCACCTTCGAGCAGTTGCCACGCTGATAGGGGTTTAATTTATCACGTTATCACATTAAGACGTGCGTAGTCTGTCTTCTCACCTAGAATGTATGGCGCTTTTGTCTGTTCTGTGCACTGCCGTACCCCAGTGTCTAGAACAGCGCCTGACACATAGTAGGTGCTCAGTAAAAAGTTTTGGGCTGACGAGCTGATGGGCTAGATGGACGGCGGGTGGATGGGGTAGGTGAGGCCACGTGGCACGGGGGCTCGCAGGTCACGGTCCGCAGCGTTTATTCTGAGAGCAGTAGGGAGAGTGGGAGCTCTTCCGGGCAGGGGTGACTCCGCAGGGTGTCAAAGTGAGGGAGTGACCCTGCCTCGGCCTCACAGGCCCCGGCTATGGCTCGCTCAGCCACTGACCCTCCCTCTCTCCTCCCCCAGGTCCACCTCCACCTCCTCGCCTGTCCGCCCGGCCGCCACATTCCCACCCACCACCCACTGCCCACTGGGTGGCACCCTCGACGGGGTCTACCCCACCCTCCTGGAGCCTGTCTTGCTGCCTAAGGAGGCCCCGCGGGTCACCCGGCCCGAGCGGCCCCGAGCAGACGCCGGCCACACCTTCCTCGCCAAGCCCCCAGCCCGCGCGGGGCTGGAGCCCGCGTCCTCCCCCGGCAAGGGCTCCGAGCCCCGGCCCCTGGCGCCGCCTGGCTCCGGCCACGCAGCCATCGCCCGCGCCCCGGCGAAGGGCCTCACGCCCCACCACGCCAGCCCGGACCAGCCAGCGCCGCCCGCCTCGGCCTCGGACCTGCACCGGGAAAAGACTCAAAGTAAACCCTTTTCCATCCAGGAATTGGAACTCCGTTCTCTGGGTAAGACCACCCTGACAGCGGCCACCTTCATAGACGCGATAATCATGCGTCAAATTGCTCACGATAAAGGGCCGCGAGAAGGAGGTTCGCTGGCCAACGACTCCCCTCGCGATGGTAAGACTCCTGGCCCCGCCGCCCACCCGCTCCGTCTTGTGGCCTAAAGATATTTTCAGATCTCTGCTTTTTATTTTTCCCCCATTTTTCGTTGGTTTTGGTATTTTGTTTTGAAAGTCGTCTTCGTCGATTGCACGCTCTGATGGTTCCTCCAGCCGCGCACACCCCCTCTGAAGGGGGGCAAGCCTCATCCTTTGCACATCGTTTTATCATGATTTTTTTGTGTTGTTTCGGATTTTCGCTTTTTTTCCTTTAATGAATGGATCTGTGATTTCGACTTTAGCCGCGCCTCCCATCTCCCCCTTTGCGCCTTTGTCTGGGGAGCAGGGCTGCAGAGGGGCGCAGGCCGATGCCTCCCACCCCCACCCCCCACCCCACCACCCGGGCCCCCCCCCCCCCCCCCCCCCCCCCCCCGCATGGGGTGCAGAGAAGACGGGGAGGGGGGGAGCGCCGCCACTCTCCAGGAGGAGCTGGGAACCTGCCCCCTGCGTCCTGCCCAGGTCGTGAGGGTGTCTTGGGGGTACTCTGCCCCACGCTCCCCTTGCCAACCCACCAGCCAGCAGCCCCGGGGGACGAGGGGCGTCCTCCATGCTGGAGCGGGGCTGTGGCCCGGCGGGGACACTGGGACCTGAGTGTCGCTCCCGCCCCAGCCCTCACCGACCCCACTCCCTCACCGCCCGTCCGTCCGCTGCCCCTACACTCCCTTCGCAGAGACTCATCCTCCCCCATGTCACTCTCCCCGCCCCTGGCCCGCCAGCACCACCGGGCTCTGTCTCCGTCCCTTTTCCCACCTGTGCTGCTGTCCAGCTCTCCCTCTGCTTGGATCTCTCCGCGTCGCCCTCCGCCCTCCTGCCTGTGCGTCCTGTTCTCTGTGCTGCTCCCACGTCCAGCTCTCTCTACAGCCCTCTCTCCCTGCAGCCCCCGTCCCTCTTTTCTCACTCTGCCCCGACCCCTGACCGGCCAGCAGACCCCACGCTGGCTCTCTCCCTCTCTCTCTCTCGGCCCCAGCCCCCACCCCCGGCCTGGGGGACCCAGCCAGTGTGGGAGGGTAGGCTGGGAGGGGCAGCCTGGCCCTGGCGCTGGCCTGACTCGCGGCCTCACCCGGCTTCAGGTTACCACGGTGGCGGCTACAGCCCTGATGGGGTGGAGCCCGTCAGCCCCGTGAGCTCACCCAGCCTGACCCATGACAAGGGGCTCCCCAAGCACCTGGAGGAACTCGACAAGAGCCACCTGGAAGGGGACCTGCGGCACAAGCAGCCAGGTAGGGTCCCGCCCTGCCTCCGAGCCCCCTCCCGCCCCCCCACCCCCGCGTGTGAGACAGGGACGGTTGTCACCCCGTCGCGCAGGTGGGGAAACTGAGGCGCTCAGAGGTGGCAGAATCGGCCTTGCGCCACAGCTCAGAGGGCAGAGCCAGGCTCTGAGGGCAGCAGCCCCGTCAGGCACACGCCTCGCCCCCCTCAGCCACGCCCTGACCTGCTCTGCTCTGCCCGCAGGCCCGGGGAAGCTCAGCGGCGAGGCTGCACACCTCCCACACCTGCGGCCGCTGCCCGAGAGCCAGCCCTCGTCCAGCCCGCTGCTCCAGACCACCCCAGGGGTCAAAGGTCACCAGCGGGTGGTCACGCTGGCACAGCACATCAGTGTAACTACCCCTCCTCTGCCCCCTCCTCGTTGCCTTTGTACCTGGGGTGGGACCCGGCCCCGAGGAAGGGGCGGGGGTGGGTCCACGCACCGTCTGGTGGGTAGCCTGAGTCCTGGTGAGGTGAGCCAGGGATCTGGGGGTTGGTGAAGGCAAGCCATGCCAGGGGTCCCAGAGTCTCAAACTCAGGTGCTATATTCGCCCCCTCATCCAGCTGATGGAGCCTCAGGTGCACGAGCCCAGCTGCGATCCACATCTTACACACGCTGGTCAGGGGAACCCGACCCACCTGGGGGCCCACTTTGAGACTTGGGCCAGTGCCCCCACCCCATGCACTTGGGGGCATTGAGGCTGTGTGGGCAGGCCCGAAGCCCCCGGGTTCTGCCCCCAAAGCTCAGTCCGCTGCCCTCACCCCACTTGGAAGGTTCTGGGAGATGGCTGGCGCCTGACCCTGCTCCTGTCCCCTGACCCTTGGCCTGCAGGAGGTCATCACGCAGGACTACACGCGGCACCACCCGCAGCAGCTCAGCGCGCCCCTCCCTGCCCCCCTTTACTCCTTCCCTGGAGCCAGCTGCCCTGTCCTGGACCTTCGCCGCCCACCCAGCGACCTCTACCTCCCAGCCCCGGACCATGGCGCCCCGGCCCATGGCTCACCCCACAGTGAAGGGGGCAAGAGGTGAGTGGCGGTGGGAGACAGGGTGCCCCTTGCTGGTCACCACCGAGAGGGCTCTGTTAGGTGTCTGCTGCGGGAAGCTTGAGCCCAATAAAGTGCGAGGCCCGCCTGGAGCCATTGCACATATGAGAAACCGAGGTTCAGGGAGATCGGGGAGTTTGCTCAAGGTCACGGCGCAGCTGGACAATAGCTGTTACATACGCCACACTCGGGGGGATTCCAGGCACCAAGCTGCATACTTCACACCTGTTAACCGGGATCCTCATCACAACCTTGGGAAGTGTGGGCAGTGTTATCCCATTTCACAGACAAAGAAACTGAGGCACAGAGCAGTGAATTCACTTGCCTATAGGGACGCAGCCAGTAAATGGCGGAGCTGGGATTCGAAGCAGAGCCATGTGGTTTGAGAGCCGCCTCCTAACGGGCACATACACACTTGCACTCCTGGTTACCCCTGGGGGGCTCCCTGGTCAGAGAGGAGAGGAATGGGGAGGGACCCCCGCTCTAGGATGAAGGAGCCATTCCGGGTGGTGCACAGAGTTGGGGAGACAGCAGCATGTCTTTGGGGGAACAGTGGGGTCCCTGGCGTCAGGGTGCAGCAGGGGTTCAACAAAGTGCCACCCGTGGGCCAGATTCAGCCCACGGCCTGTTCTTGCATGGTCCATGAGCTAAAGATGATTTTACGTTTTTAAAGAAGGAGAATATACAGCAGAGACTACAAGTGGCCCACGATGCCTGAAATGTTTGCTATCTGACCCTTTGCAGGAAAAGCGTGCTAACCCTTGGTTTAGAACGAGGCAGGGCTTAGCGGGGAGTGGAGAAAGGGATGCGCCCCCTTCAAGAGGGAGCTCTGAGCTCTGACCACCGCAGGGACCCTCTCTCCGCCCAGGTCTCCAGAGCCAAGCAAGACGTCAGCCTTGGGCAGCAGTGAGGATGGTATAGAACCTGTGTCCCCGCCGGAGGGCATGGCAGAGCCCGGGCATCCCCGGAGCACCGTGTACCCGCTGCTGTACCGGCACGGGGAGCAGGTGGAGCCCAGGTACCTGCATGGCAGCCCCTCCCCTTCCTGGGACGCTCAGGACTCGGGCCCTTGCCCACCTGCGGCCTCGATCCACCACTGCGCAGCTGGGGGCTTGGCAAGGGCTTTGGGGTGCAGCCGGGGGGCCTCAGACACGCTAAACAATGTCAAAACTTGGCGGACCTCCACGGCTGCTTCCTGAGCCTTGGGCTGGGGTCCCTTAGCTCAGGCCCGGCCCCTGTTGCCGGCACTTGAGGGTCTGAGAAATAAAGAGCCAAGTGTGCTGGACCAAACTGGGGCCGCGGCGGCGCGGGCGCGGGGGGGGGGGGGGGGGGGGGGGGCGGGGCGGGCACTTACAGAGGTGTTCTGGCACTGCACGCTGGAGCTGTTGAAGCGCAGGGCGGGCACCCTCTGCTCGCTGGCCTGGGTGCTGGGG